CAATCATTTGGAATGGTTTAATGACCCACTACTTGTTCAGTTTCTGAAGTTTATAAAGCACTACTTTAGAAAACTTGAAGTTTTAATCAGAGGTAAAATAATTAGCTTTGTGTTGTAAAATGAATATTCCATTGTAGAAAATGAGTTAAAGCATAATTGAGACTTGAGGTAAAAACATTCAGTTTGAGATGTAATGAAAGCCTCAACTAGGTCAAGGATAGTGGGGATGAAATGAGGATAATTTCAATAGACATTTAGAAGGTAGAATAAACAGAATTTGGTTGATCATTGGCCATCTGTGTTTAAGTAAAGGAAGAATCTAGGATGATATCCTTGACTTTGGTTTGGATGGCCAAAGGAAAAATTACTGAAAGAGAAAATATGAAACATCTAAATGTCTGGTTTTGACATAATGATAAGTTCAATTTTGAATATGTGAATGGGAAATGCTGTGGGATATTAGATTGGAGAGATCCATAAGGTAGTTTATTAGGTAGATTGTGAATGTGAGAAAAAGGGTTGGCATTTTGGCATGATGAAGAAGGCATATGTATCACAGATAAATCTAAAGACAATAATATAATGAAACAAGAAGGTGCAATAGTAGGAAGAAAAAATACTTATGAGGGTCAAATGTTTTTAAAATATGGAATTAATATGGTGACCAAAGGTGTTGATTTTTGTAATTGGCAATGAAGAAAAGCAATTTATATATTTGACAGAAACTGCTAATTTTCTTTCAATGTTCATTTTTTCTCTCCTTGCATAATAACACAAGGCAGATATTTTAGCTGAAACACAGCAACTTGAAACAAAGTATAATGTAAGTGAAAAAGTCTAATTTTGAGAAGTAACTAAATTTTGGCCAATTTTGTCACTAGAAGTGCTATACTTCTGGAAATTCTACTCAAGAGTCAGTTTATGTGCATCCTTTGGGTCTTATTTTTATTATTTCCTGTTGCTTGGAATAATACTACCACAAATTGGGCCATGAGGATGAAGCAAAGCAAGACAGAAACTCATAAAAAGAAACATCACTGGACTACATTTACTTTTACCTTAAGAATAAATTCTACCTTATTTAAGGTTCCCTGGGTAATGCAAACAGTTAAGCATTTGACTACTAGCCAAAAGGTTGACAGTTCAAACCCATCCAGAAGTGCCTTGAAGATAGGCTTGACGATCTGCTTCCAAATGTCACAGACTTCAAAACCCTATGGAACATTTCTATGGGATCACTAAGAACTGGAATCAATTTGATGGCAACTAACAACAAACAGCCTTGTTTAAGTCATTGCTATTTAAGATTTTCTCTCATAAGCATCATAACTGCACAATGACACTAGGGAGTTAACTTCAGTGGAGTGGAGGTGGAAAAACCCATTTTACAATGGGTTGAGTACTGAATCCTTATCAACTAAATAAAAATCTTATAGGCAAAGGCATGAAGTACATATGTTATACTAAATAGTCATAGTTTATTTCTTTACTATGAAACTGTACACCTTGTTGTTGTTGTTGTTAGGTGCCATCAAATCCTCACCGACTCACAGACACCTTATGCACAGCAGAACGAAACACTGCCCAATCCTGGGCCAACCTCACTACTGTTGCCACGCTTGAGTCCATCGATGCTGCCACCTGGCCAATCCATCTCGTTGGGGGTCTTCCTCTTTTTCTCTGACCCTCCACCTTATTTAGTGCTAACTTTATTTCAAACTCTAAGAAAGCTGTGGTTTATAAAGCAACAAGTTAATTGTTATATAGAAAATATATCCTATTTCTAAACATACTTTGTGAGTATCATTCTTATAAACAGACTGCCAGTTTAAAGGGGAAAAATCTGCTAGTAATTTACAGGTGAATGATAATTCATTATAGAAAGCTGGTTAACATATTACTGTGTGGTGGTGGTGGTTGTGTGCAGTGGAGTCGGTTCCTACTCATAGGGACCCTGCATAGGGTTTCCGAGGCTGTAAATCATACGGGAGCAAAAAGCCTCATCTTTCTCGCGTGGAACAGCTGGTAGTTTGGAACTATTGAACCTTGAGGTTAGCAGCCTGATTCATAACGATTTTTACGCTACCAGAGCTCCTTGGAATACTGTGCCCTAAGAATATATTGAAATTATATCCAAATCCTGGTGTGGAGCTGTGGGTTAATGTGCTGACTGCAAAGTCGATTTGAACTGCAAGGTCGGTGGTTCAAACTCACCGCCGCGCCTCAGAAACCCTATACAGGGTCGCTATAGGTTGGAACTAACTCAACTTGATGGCACTTAACAACAACATACCTGTGAATAGGATCTTGTTTGAAAATCGCGTTTTCTTTGTTATGTTAATTAGGCCATACCTCAGCTGGTAGGTTCTGAGTTGTAACTAGAACAGATTAGAAACATGTGAAGAGGAAGAGAGATGACTGACGCAAATACATCTGCAAGGATTGCTGACGGCTACTAGAAGCTGAAATAGACAAAGAAGGACCTCCCCTAAGAGGCATGCCCTGAACTCAGACTTTTAGTCTTGGGAACTGTGAGAAAATAAATTCTATTTTTAAAAGGCATTCACTTGTGGTATTTATGTTATGATAGTATCAGGTAACTAAGACACTTACTAGCCCATGAAGAAATGTGGCAAAGCAGTCAAAATACTTCCAGTTCCCATAACGATGCAACCAATTCCAATTATTCTTGGTCTATGTAGCTTGGATCCAAAGTAACTTACAAATACAATCACAAGCAAATTTCCTGGAAAGAAAACAAAAGTTTTTAGATATAATTCACTTAGGAAATATTGACTGAAACCAATTTTGTGTTCAGTGACATAAGCAAATCCTAGCATGAATGCAAATACAGCACAAGTGGGACCTTCCATGAAAGGTCCTGATATTTAATTGAGAAGATGAAACTCACCTAGATTAAAACACTCATTAGAAGTTCTGTGGCATTCATAATAAGCAAACAAGGCTTTTAGATGCAAAATAAACCACTAAGCAATATTGTTGTTTAACAACAACAAAGATAATCAGCCTCAGCAATATTATACAGTGTCACTATGAGTTGGAACTTACTCAATGGCACTTAGCAACTACAACAAATCATATAGATTTAAAAGAGCAATCATGATGCATTGATAATTAGTGGTGATTGGAATGTTAAGGTTGGAAACAAAGAGGAGGATCAATAATTGGAAAATATGGCCTTGGTGATAGAAATTATGCTGGAGATCATAGGATTGGATTTTGCAAGATCAATGACTTATTCATTGCAAATACCTTCTAAAAACAGCATAAAAGGTGTCTAAACACAAGGGCCTCACCAGAAACAATACACAGAAATAAAATTGACTACATCTATGGAAAGAGACAGTGGAAAAGCTCAATATCATCACCAAAACAAGTCCACCAGTCAATTGAGAAACAAACAAACCATCAATTTCTCATGGAAGTTCAGGCTGAAGCTGAAGAAAATTGGAATAAGTCCATGAAAGTCAAGATACAATCTTTAATATTTATCACCTAAACTTAGAGACCATATCAATAATGAGCAAAAACTCGAAGAGTTATGGGATGATATTAAGAACATCATACAGAGAGAAAACAGAAGATCATTATAAAGCAAAGAAAGAAAGAAAAGACCAAAATTGATGTCAAAAGAGATTCTGAAACTTGATCTTGAGCAGAAAGAAATTAGAGCAAAGAAAGAAATGAGGAAGTCAAAGAGCTGAACACAAATATTCAAATGGCAGCTCTAGAAGACAAAGTGAAGCATTATAATGACATATTGCATTAGGCAAATCTGCTGTTAAGTGTTCAATAGCAAAGGTATCAGTTTGAGGTGCTCCTGACCCAAGTCATGGTATTTTCAATCACCTTATATGCATGTGCAAAATTGAACAGTAAATGAAGAAGACCATTAAAAAATTGATGTGTCTGAATTATGGTGTTGGAGAAGAATAAAAGTACAATGGGCTGTCAGAAGAATGAACAAATATGTGTTGGAAGAAGTACAGCCAATATTCTCCTTAGAAGTCTGGATTGTGAGACTTCATCTCTCATACTTCACACATGTTATCAGGAGGGTCCAGCCCTTGGAGAAGGACATAATGCCTGCTACAGTAGAAGGTCAGCAAAAAAGAGGTAGGTCCCAATGAGATGGCCTGACACAGTGGCATCAGCCGTGGGCTCAAGCATAACAATTGTGAGGACTTGCCAGTCTTTCATTCTGTTGTGAATAGGCTCACTCTGAATTGGAACCAACTCAAAGACACTTAACAACAACAGATAATGAATTTTTAGTCCTTCTGCATCATTAAATGTGGGAGGAAAAATGAAAAATGGGAAGAGATAATGAGCTACCAATTCCTAAAATTAGAAAACAATAATGTTTAGTCACTATATAAAATCTCACTATTGTTATTGGTGTGGTGCTATAGGATAAGCAATGGACTGCTCACCACAAGGTCAGTGGTTCAAACCCACTAAGCAACTCCTATACAAATCTGCTGAGTCAGAACCGACTCAGCAGCATTTAACAACACATTATTGGTAAAGGTCCAAAGGTGATACAGTGGTTAAGCACTTGGTTGTGATCCAAAAAGTAAATGGTGGTTCAAATTCATCAGTCGCTCCACAGGAGAAAGACA